GTGTAGAAAAATGTACCTAAATTAGTACAAATTTATATGTGAAATAACCCTTTAAAAAATCCGAAATTAATGATCATATATGACCCTAACGCTAACTAAGTTTTGATCAATTAGTCTATTGAACACCCTACCTGTACGTACTGTACATATAAAAACTATATTTTTACTAGATAAGGTTATTTGGTTCTTTTCAAAAACAATGACAAAACGTCTCACCCGATCAGAACTATTCGCTGGCGCTCAAGCGACAGGAAGTAGCGTCCAAATTCCAAGCTCACATTTAGATCTAGAAAATCAAAACGATGAAAAGATTGAAGGACTAACTAGTAAAGTAAAAATATTAAAAGAGGTTTGTCGTACTTTCTACAGAGATTTACCGTTTTTTAAACCAAATTATCAATTAATTTAAGGATTTAAATATTTTTTAAATAAATGTTCGTAGATTACTTTAAACATTGGTGAGACTATAAAAGAATCCAGTTCTATTATAGGCTCAATGGTAAGTCTTACATTTTTATTATTTTATTTTTATTATATACAACAATTTGTAATAAAATTAATTTATTATTTATGAAAAGTCTGACGATTATTCACGAACAGGCCATTTTCTTGACGGTTCTATGACCCGACTAAAATTAATGGCCAGATCACAAGATAGTCAATTTTTTTACTACTTAGTTTTTATTATAATCGTTGCATTTATATTTATATACTATTTCTTTCGATAAATGAAAAAAAAAATTTAAACAAAAGAATATTCAACCTTAATCTTTGTAGAATTAATATTAATATTTTGCAAAAACTAGTAAAAGATCTTTCATTTATTTCATCTTATTCTTTATTATTAAATTTCGACTAATGTGAGATAACTTTTTAATAATTAAACACATCTACATTTGATATAATAATTTTTCGATTAACAAATATTGACAGGATTCAAAATCAGGGATTATAATGAAAATGCTCACGCTTTCCCTTTTAGCAATGTTCTATAATAATTGTTATAATAAAACTTATCCGTTTCTTGTGGTTCGACAAGTGGCATTGTACTCCCCCATTTATTTTCTTTAGCTCCTACAATAATATTTGCACTCAAATCCTTTAACATTTTAACATTTTGATTTGCTTCATCTTTAGAATAAGAAGTAAATATGCAAGGTAATTCTTTCTCTATTAAAAATTCAACGGATGATTTCCAAGATTCTTCATATAGATCAGTATTGAAACCAACGACAATTTGTGGAGTGATGAAATCATCAGAAACAGAATATTCATCATATGATACTGGATGTAATGAATAAATTCGTTTTCTATTAGCCTTAGTACAACGTGGACAACATTGTAGAGAAACACCTATAATTTTTGATGGTAATTCTATTCCAATCAATATGAGTTGTAGTGTTTTTATGTTTGGGAGTATATGCATAATTTCTTCGAAGGACATAAGTGCCGATACCTCATATTTACCGGCACCTATGAAATGAACCACCAAGTCGTCAAAAGAGCGCAATTGGCTACGTGAGTAAAACCTTTCCAAGGCAGATAGAATTGTGAGCGGGAGTGATAGAGTATTAGTTATTACTCTACACAATGCATCAAGTTGATTGAATTGTGGTGCCTTTCTCCATTTTAAATAAGAATTCCAATCTTTTGGAAGTGGTGGGTAAATGAAACTTTCATCCCATTCCTCAGGTGCCCACAATGTTTCCGAAGTGCCTTGATATCTAATTAGGCAAATTCAATATGATAAAACGTTTCAATAATTAGCTGCATATCATAGTGCATTTTGAAAATCATCATCACTATTTTTATAATCTCGAACAGGAATTACATCCGCTGGTCTGAGATTAAATAATGATGCATACTTTGGCATTATTATATAATAATCTATTTAAAACTATATATATAATATGAAATGAAAATATCACCTAATTTTTTCACATTGAACCATAATTTGATATGTTTGACATAAAGATTTATGCTTTGGTCGATGTTGTTCCCAATGTTCATTAGAACAGCAAAAGACAACATGACAATTCGTACATGGTATCAATGCCGAACGGTTTTCTAAGTCACGAGAGGTTCTAAAACAGACGTGACATTTTGGCTGATTTAACCAAGCATTGCTCTCATAACTAGTTAAGTCTCTATCAAGCGCTGCTGGCAACAGTTGCATATGATAAATCTTTCTCTTGTTCCACTCGGATTCTTTACCGTTGCATGAATACCAAACTTCATCAAGATTACTAAGCTCTTCGATAGCAGTACAAAATTGTTTATGAAACGAAAAGTCAGCCCTTTGGCAACTTTTCGAACAGTAATAAGACATACGGCAACGTGTACATCGTAAGAGAGATCTAGTTCCATCTTCTCTAGTTGTTTTGTGACAGTTTGAGCACTCAAAACCCGCAATCTGTAAATAAGTTTTTCGCTTCCTAAGTTCTTCTTTAGATGCCATGTTACGTAAAAGCAATCCATTTAAAGTCAATTGACTATTTTAACATTGATCGTTACATCGTTACACAGATCCGAGTGCGGCATGTATATACCTGTTTAACCATTATCGATAACTAAATAGTGCCCAGGCTAGGATGTCGGTATTAAAGGTAACCAGACGATAATAAAGAGGGGAAGAATAAGATACGAAGCTTATTCCTAATTTAAAGGGGCTCCCACCGAAAACGTGTATCAAGGGTGAAACCTATTTTTAACCCGCTTCTCAGATTATCACATTTTTTAATAAGGGCAAACACACTGTTTGGTAGAATCATGCTAAAATCCATTAAAAGATACGTATTTATTTTACGGCCATGTTGTTACTGCCAGTGTTGTCAACAACAGCTCTGGACAATTTGTAGACAATTGTGGACTATTGTGAACAAAAAAACAAATCTAAATTACTTAAAATTTTATTAAGATAACCTATTTTTTTCTTTTCATAAAAATATTCAAAACTATGAAAAATATATAATGTCTTTTTTAAACTAATTTATCAAAATTTAAAGTCTAAATATTCTTTGGACAGTTGTGGACACTGTGGACATGTGGACGTGAACATGGGCAAAAAAAGTCTTGGACATAGTAGACGTGACAACACTGGTTACTGCTATACCAAAATTTTGATCATATTTGTATGGTTGAGTTTTAAAATTCTTATTAGACAAAGTCGATAACATAATCAATTCTATCTAATAAGTATTTAACTCAACTATACAAAATAATCAAAATTTGGTATAGCAGTAACAAGTAATACCATGCTGGCAAAAACTAATATGGTGATAGATGATTGAATCAAATATCTGTCAAACTGTGACAGTGGCTCACATATCTTTGATAGATATTTGATCTGATCACTTATTTATATCCATACTACTGTATATATGTATTTGCAATGTGATCACATCCTATCAATTTTCAGAGATAATCATTTTTTTATAATTTGATCAGAATTCACACCGAGTATATCTATATACCCTCTCCCCTGCTTAGAAGATGGCAAATATCTTAAAACATCATCTTTAAAATTTTTTAAACCATTTAAATTTTTAATAAAAATTAATATTTATTTATAAGCCAATTAGATTATAGAATTTTGATTATATAGAATCTTTGCTAGAAAACTGCTCTTTGGAATTTTCTAATTGGGCTAATTTAGAAAAACTTAGCCCAGATATTAGTTTTTATTTATATGATGCTGGAAGCCTATACTAGACAATAAAATAATATAACTTTAAAATATATTAGCTTTTTATAGGAACAATATTTTTAAAAGCTATTTGGCAAATTTGTAGAGCTTATTATAGTGAACAAAGTTACTAATCAAATTTTTAAAATATTGCCTTTATAAAAAATTATAATATTTTGAAGAAAATTTTTTTTTTTTATAAATTTGGCAGTTATACCAAAACTTTATTAGATATAATGCACTCGACTATACTATCTCATGCAACTGTTTAAAACTGAAACACTGGCTCCAAATATTTAAATTACAAGTTTTGACTGGCCCAGTTACTTAAAAAGCACTTATTCTTAACTTGCTATAGTAGTTTTTACCTCCTTATATACCCTTTTTGTACTCGAAAGAATATATATATCAACAGTAAGCACTATGGCTCGTCATGACTGCTAATTTCCTTTAGACTCTTCTCTTCTTAATATCCAAGCAAGAAGATTCTGCAATCCTTGCCTCAAGAACAACAAGTATACTAAAATAACTAAACTAAAAAAGATAAACAAAGAAAGGAGGAAATACTACAAAACCTAAACGAAAACCAAATAATAAAAGAAAGAAAAATAAAATAATAAAAAAAGAGGATGACAAAAAGAAAAAAAACAAAGATGAAACAGCACCAGATACACCAGTGCTGGGATAGTTTAAAAATTATTTAATACTCTGTAAAACAATCCCCACTTTCACTTTATTTTGGTATTAAAATATACTTTATATGTGGAGAATATGAAATTTTTTTTTTACTCTAGTGATCTAAAACCAACAAGTTGCTATCGTTTACGTATCCGTCTACAGTCTTCAGGGATATAGTGTGTGATTTTCTCGTAACTTGCCATCCCGATTTGGCAACGTAAACAATATTGATCTTTTATAGAAGTACGCCGAAATTCTCACTTTTTGGAAAAAATTTTGAGAGAAATATCAAAAAACTCAGCAGGAATATAAAAGATAGTTTGCGAAGGCAGGTACTTTCAAAATTTTCAAAAGAGTGTATTGAAGTCCACAAATATTTGTTGTTTTCTCTGTGTTTTTGTTAACAGCCTAAGAGCTTCGTCGACGAAGAAGACTTTGTCTTTCTACCAAGATTTTTTATACAAGAGCACTGCTTGCCAGTTATTTTGTATAATAACGCTCCTGGTTTGCATGCCAAATGTCTTTTAGAGGAGTCCTGTGAGCTAAAAAAACATTGACCTCTAGACAAACTGCTATATAGACCACGACTCTCCAACAAAATTTGTGTTTTTCTTTAGTAAAAATTTTGGTACAAGTGATCGTTAAGAAGAGTTGGTTGAATATTTTGAAGAAAATTAAAATTAAAACATATACCGTATTCTATCATAAATAAGCACCCCCTTGATTATAATAAGGGGGTGCTTATTCATAATATAATTTTTAAATATCTAAAATTTTGAAAATTTCCAGATTACCGAGTTTCCGATCTCAC